ACTTTATGTGTGCAATGGTATTTGACCGATCTTTTTTTTTTTTTTTAACCAGTGGTAGACAATAGATGTTATTCAAGCACTGAAAACAACACAAAACACACATACAGACACGACATTTTTTTAACGGTTTCTTTTTCAGAAAGTTTATCTTGAGATAAAAGTGCACTTTACTGGCTCTCAATTCAAACATTTGTCTTCATATTTCTAAATAGGTGTTTCTGGAAATTTTTTTCAAACATAAAGTTCAATAGATAAAATCCTGTTTCACCACTGACTTATATTACAAAAGCACACATCCACCTACCCAAAAAGGAAACCCTAGTTAATTAACAATATTTAGACAGAAAGCTTTCAGATAGGGCTTAACCCTGTGACAATTGGCAGGTTGGAGTTCCTGCTTTGCTCTACCTGATGAAATTTGTAATCCAGATAATAGTGTGCTTTGTAACATTGCAGTTGACTTTGAGTTCCTTTTGGTTTCTTTTGTACAGAAGAGACCTCTAGCACTTTTGTATGGAATAATTACCCCTGATTCTCTCTGAAGTGTTACAAAGCATGTTTCTGTTTGGTTTGAGAATTACTGGGCAGGCATGGTGGCTCATACCTGTAATTCCAGCACTTTGGGAGGCCGAAGTGGGAGGACTGCTTGAGACCAGTAGTTTGAGACCAGCCTGGGCAACATAGTGAGACCCTGTCTCTATAAAAAAATGAAAAAAAATAGCCACATGTGTTGACATGGACCTGTTATCCCAGCTACTCGGGAGGCACAGGTGGGAGGATCACTTGAGCCTGGGAAGTTGAGGCTGCATTGAGCCATACATTCTTCATTTTTCACTGTATAGCATGATATGGGAAGATCCTGCCATTTCCTTTTTTTTTTTTTTTTTTTTTTTAAAGACGGGGTCTTGCTCTGACGCTCAGACTGGTCTCAAACTCCTGGGCTCAAGTGATCCTCCCACCTTGGCTTCTCAAAGTTCCGGGATTACAGATGTGAGCCACCTGCTCCTGCTGCTGCTGCTGTCATTTCATTTGTTTTTCCATTAAATTATGTATTGTGGTTTTGCACTATGAAGGAAGTCACAGAAAACTGAAATGTATTAGACATGGTCCCATTTACCCCACAGCTTATACTCCATAAAAAAAATAAGGCAAATACAGGAATAATTCTAAACTTGGAATATTCATGACCACTATCATAAGAGAGAAGTGTGTTAAAGAAGAAACAATTGATTTTCTAGCTGAACAATATCAAGGACATAATTTTAACTGGTTTCAAGTTGGACTGAACTGTACCAACTCTTAGCTACTCCAGTACTAGCCATAGAAATTAGATTGAATGGAGAAAAGGATTAAAATAAACCTTGGTGGCATGTTGACTTTGAGGTGTTTGAAGACCATTCAGCCTCCTGGAAGTATACCAGAAGTCTTCCATGCTGTGAGAAAACTTGAAGCCAATGTGAAAGCTGAGTTTATCTAGGGAAAGACGATAGAGGAGTGGTTGTCAGAGAGTGGTCCTCAGACCAGCAGCATCACCTAGAAGCTTGTTAGAAAGGCAGATTTTCAGGCCCCCATCACTGACCTACTGAATCTGAAACTCTGGTGATGGGCCCAGCAGTCTGTTTTAATGCTCTCCTGGGGATTCAGGTACACACTAAAGTTTGAGAGTAACTGGGACAGAGGAAAAAAGCAGGACTAAGGACTCCAGTTTAATGTTTGTAAATATGAAGACAACAAAAAGAAATTTCACCGTTGGAGAGGAGCCATGGCCATGAAACTTCTCTGAAAGCCACAGGAGGAGAGAATTTCAAGGAGATAGTCAATTTTATTCAGTTCTACAGAAAATTTAGTTCTGTTTGGGGTATTTGTACCACTTCCAAAGTGAGACTTTATGTTTGCCTCTTGACTTTTCTGAGCCTCAGTTTGTTAACCTGTAAAATGAGTCTGACATGTTCTGCCCCCAACTTCATAAGGTTTTTGAGTGAATCAAATTAGTAAGCAAGCATAGTGGCACACACCTGTAGTCCCAGCTACTCAGGAGGCCAAGGCAGGAGGATGGTTTGAGTCCAGGAGTTCAAGACAGCCTGAGCAATATAGCAGACCCCCATCTCAAAAAAGAAAAAAATTAGTAGATTTAATGACATTATGAAAGCAAACAAAGATACAAAGTAACTAATCTTTCCATACCATAGCCATGAATTCTGGCCATAATTTTTTTTTTTTTTCTCCTGAGATGGAGTCCTGCTCTGTCACCCAGGCTGGAGTGCAGTGGCACAACTTCGGCTCACTGCAACCAACTCCTGGGTTCAATAGATTCTCCTGCCTCAGCCTCCGGAGTAGCACCCACCACCATGCCTGGCTCTAAAACTCTAGACATTTTCCTACATTTTCACCACACAAAACACCAGCCTACTGGATACTACAGCAACACTAGTAGTAGTAGCTAATAATGGGTTAAATCATATACATATATTCATAATAATGCTATAGTCAATAATCTTACACTACTTGAGAAGCTGAGGTGGGAAGGTTCCTGCCACCATGCTCGGCTAATTTTTGTAGTTTTAGTAGAGACAGAGTTTCACCATGTCGGCCAGGCTGGTCTTGAACTCTGACCTCTGGTGATCCACCTGCCTTAACATCCCAAAGTGCTGGGATTACAGGTGTGAGCCACCATGACTGGCCAGTTTTAGAATTTAGGTTAAATTTTAGAATTTAGGTTAATTCTAAAACCTAACTTCAGGACTAAAGTTCTCAAGAAGACTGGTGTTTTTGTTTTTGTTTTATAACATTGTTCCCATATAGTTGCATGAGTTAAATTCTGGTAGAGCAGATACTGGAGGATAATATAACTTGCCTGGATATCAAGTACATACCAGTCCTCAGGGACTGGGATAGATGGTGGAGATGCTCAATTTCTTGAATATACATTTTTTTTTTTTGGTATCTTCTTTTAAATGTGACAGTTAAGATAGCTGAGTCAGCATTTTAACTGATTATTAACAGTGGAAACACAGATGGAATTTGAGTCATATTTCTGGAAAGGTAACAGATTCCATACTGATAAGAAATTTTGTGTTCACTTTTTGTGAGAATTGTAAAATGATGACAAATATCACTTATTCTGATTTAATAGATGGAAAAACTGGAGTATACAGTAGTGATGCTTAAGAAGAGCACTATGCATAGACAATGAAATTTACCACCTACATAGTACGATTTGATAGGTGCTTACATTCCTCAGTGTCACTGATTTTGTCCCCTGACCATCTGCCAGCATACTTGTGTTTACTACTATTCAGTTACTCCTTCAGGGCCATCTCAAGGTTCTCAATAAATGCTTATTTGAGTGATTGAACAAACAAGGGACTAAAGACATAAAGTCACTTAAATTGGATCTATGCCTTATCTGAAAAGTATAAGATTATTGACTCTAGCATTATTTTGAATATATGTATATAATTTAACCCATTATTAGCTACTACTTAGGTGAAGGGTTTTGATGGGGTAGTGTCCAGTAGGCTGATGTTTTATGTAGTGAAGATGTAAGAAAATGTCTAGAGTTTTAGAGCAGTGCCTTTGGCTTCTAGGATCTTAGGGAAAGTAGGAAATGTGATACAATTAACTAACCTGGATGCCACACGAGGTTTATTTATTTATTTTTGAAACAGGGTCTAGTTTGGTCACCCAGGCTGCAGTGCAGTGGCATGATCATGGCTCACTGCAGCCTGGACCTCCTGGGCTCAAGTGATCTTCGCACCTCAGCTTTCCAAGTAGCTGAGACCACAGGCATGCACTACTATGCCTGGCTAATTTTTATTATTATTATTTGTAAAGATGGGGTCTTACTTTTTTGCTCAGGCTGGTCTTGAACTCCTGTGCTCAAACGATCCTCCAGCCTCAGCCTCCCAAAGTGCAGGTATAACAAGTATGAACCACCATAACTGGTCTGTATGAATTTTGAAATATCAAAGGGAAGTGAATAAAGAGGGAGAGAGGCACCATTCCTGGATTTCTGGAGGTATTGAAATACAGGTTGATGTGTAGAGTGGCTGGAGCAAACTCCTATTCCGTTTCCCTGCTTCAAAAACCCATTTTGTCCATCTCAAGAAAAAAAAAACAAACTCCATTTAATATATTTTCCTTGGATAGAGGATGTGTCAGATATGAAACTGATAAGAACAGATACTACACTTGATCTTAGCCAAAAGGGTAAGTTCCATTGGAGTAGCCTGCAGTAGATCTGGAGTTTCTCCTCTGGAGACCATTTAGAGGGCTAATTTAATAGGTGGAAAGATGATAAGGAATTTAAAAAGGAACATTTCAGTGGAAACAGAGAGGCAGGGACAGATGGAAATATTTCAGGAAGAGCATGGAAGATAATATTCTGTATTACCTGGACTCTGATTCATTCTGGCAAATGGGGCACATGGGGGATCAGTTTCCTGTTATCACAGTACTTCAGACACATATTTTTTTCTGTGCCCGTGAAATCGCCAGTGTCTTTAAGGTAAGGATCATATATTTTTATCTCAGTGTTCCTGGAACCCTTTCAACAACACGCCGAAAGGTTACCTGTATTGTTGCTGAATCATTGGAAAATGGACATTCATAAATGGCTAAAGATTACAGGTTAACTCGTAGTAAAAGCATTAGCATTAAAGGTTCAGTAATGCCTGATAAAACACTACACTGATTACATTTCAACCTAATCTTTCTAGCGATTTTAAAGTCTCCATAAAACTGGTAAATTCCTCATCCCACAAATAACCAGAGACTGGAATACTAGCTTCGAAATACTTTTTTCCTTAGCTGATTTTATCGAGTGACTATATGCCTAAGGGAGGGTTCTAAGAAGACGTTAGTAGGGACCCAGAACATGGGAAGTACTGATTTCCTTATCAATTTGATGGTGGTCCTGAACTGATTACAATCTCTGAATCCCAATTGTACGCCAACGTTACGGAACCAAAAACGCCGACTCCCGTATTTCTGGGCGGACACACAAGTTTGTTACGATGGCTCGATTGCTTTTGCCTGGCGGAAACCAAACTGTGAGGTCCAAGGACCAAACGGCCAAGGACAGGAAGTGAGTCCAGGTCGTACCCGTCTTCGGGAGAGCTTGGGCCGCTGAGACTTCGGAGTCTGCGCTGGGCCGGCTTGGAGCTCTGAGTGGATGGAAAAGTTCAGTCATGTTTGCACCCGCGGTGATGCGTGCTTTGCGCAAGAACAAGACTCTCCGCTACGGAGTCCCTATGTTGGTGAGTGGAGTGAGGAGGAACTCCGGGAGGTGTGGGACCCTGGTCGTCGGCAGGATCAGGACCTGGGAGGGAATCTGTAAAATGTGAAGTTGAGGGCTGGTACTCCGGCTAGGAAGGGGCCGGCGACTGGCTGAGAGCTTTCCTAAAAGCTCTTCTTTCTACCAGTCTTTTCCTACGCCTATCCCCAACCTCCCGGCCGCCGTCGCCCGCTCCTAGTTGGATCTCAGGTTTACTAGGATCTGTCCGCTTCTGAACGTGGCATCTTTCCCATCGAATGCGTTCATTTCCCAATGAACGCGGTCATTGTTATTACCCTTGATTCACAGTTAAGTAAATTGAAGCTCAGAGAATTCAATCAGAACCACAGTTTAAACCAAGTCTGCATGATTACTGTGCTTGCTTCCTCGCCCCCACCTTAGCTGTGTTTTGACGATACTGTGGATCATTGGGACTAGATGTATTCCATTTAACTGTACCAATTCCTGGTATCTTTCTGTTTCATCTACTAGTTTGTGAATTAGCTTAATTCTTAGAGTTGTCGTGATAACCTAAATAAGACCTTGTAAATCAAGTGTTGAGTCCGGTGCCTGCCACATCGTAGCCAGATGGTTGCTGTGTTATAATTTGTAAAGCACTTTGAAAACAGCTTCAGTGTTTATGCGGTTGCATCCAATTCCACACTGAGTTCCCTAAGGGTGTCATGAAAATGCAGGCTGAGGCTAGCTTAAGACAACCAGAGTTGAAATCCAGATGACTCTATTTGCTTTTTGATCACGGGCAAGTTATTTTGCTTCAGCAAGTCTTGATGTGTTAGTAAGTGAAACAGTTAAAGCATATGAACAAAAGCTGCTTTCTTTTAAATACAGAACAGATTTTTATTTTGTATGAATTTTGGCACAGGTGAAATTACCAGCTTTTCCATTTAAGCAGACTAAAAAAGAGAAGTGACCTTAAAAAGGTAACGGGTATTTAACACATTTTTTAAAAATCCAGATTCATCAAATCTGAATTTTAGGAAGATTCACCCATCTAAAGTATCCCGGTCAAGCATGATGGCTCACACCTGTAATCCCAGCCTTAGGAAAAACCAAGACAGGAGGATCGCTTGAGGTCAGGAATTCTAGACCAGCCTGGTCAATATAGCAAGACCCCTGTCTCTCCAAAAAAAAAAAAAAAAAAAAAAAAAAAAAAAAAGTGTTGTTTGTTGGTTTTAGCAAATTATATATTAGTAAACTAAAATGTTCGTATATTAGTACATTCTTAGTTGGAGCCATCACCACAATTTTAGCACATTTTTGTCACCCCAAGAAAAGCATCATAAAACTAATAGTAATCACTTCCCATTTCTCCCTACCTCTTATCCTGGCCTGGGAAACCACTAATCTACTTCTACTTGTAAATTTGCTTATTCTGCACATTTCATATTAATAAACTAACGTGGAGTTTTAGTGACTGGATTCTTCCACTTAGAAAGTTTTTAAGGTTCATTCACACTGTAACATATATCAATATTTCATTCCTTTTGATGGATATAATTCCATTGTTTGGATATATTTTATTTATCAATTGATGAACATTTGGGTTGTTTCCATTTTTATGTTATGAATAATGCTGCTATGAACATTTATCTACATGCTTTGTGTGAAAGTATGTTTTCATTTCTCTTGGGTAGGAAATATCCCTGGATGTGGAATTGCTAAGTTGTATGGTAACTCTATTGAACTTTTTAGAATGTGCCAGATGTTTTCCGAACTGGCTTCATTATTTTGCATTCCCAACAGCAATATATGATTTTCTATTTTTCTGCATCCTCGCCAACACTTGTTATTGTCCATCTTTTTAGTTATTACCCTTTCTAGAAGGTGTGAAGTGATATCATTGTGTTTTTTGTTTGTTTGTTTTTTGAACCAGAGTTTTGGTCTTGTTGCCCAGGCTGGAGTGCAGTTGTGCGATCTGGACTCACTGCAACTTTTGCCTCCTGGGTTCAAGCAATTCTCCTGCCTCAGCCTCCCAAGTAGCTGGGATTACAGGCATGTGCCACCATGCCTGGCTAATTTTGTTACAATTTGAGCATTTTCCCATGTTATTAAATATTTTTATAAACCATAGATTTTAATGGCTGCAAATATTCCTATTATCTGGGAGTCCCATAATTTACTTTAAAAATCACATAATATTGGGCCATTAGGTTGTTTCCAGTGTTCTTGAGAAACATTGGTTGTATCTCTGTGTTGGTTTCTAGAGGATGCCTTAGCCTGGTACTGTCTTTTTTTTTCATTGCATTTTAGGTTTTGGGGTACATGTGAAGAACATGCGAGATTGTTGCATAGGTACACACATGACAGTGTGATGTGCTGCCTTCCTCCCCATCACCTATATCTGGCATTTCTCCCCATGCTGTCTCTCCCCAGCTCCCTACCCACCGCTGTCCCTCCCCTGTTTCCCCCCGGCAAACCCCAGCGTGTGATGCTCCCCTCTCTGTGTCCATGTGTTCTCATTGTTCAACACCCACCTATGAGTGAGAACACGTGGTGTTTGATTTTCTATTCTTGTGTCAGTTTGCTGAGAATGATGGTTTCCAGATTCATCCATGTCCCTACAAAGGACACAAACTCATCGTTTTTGATGGCTGCATAATTTTGTATTTTTAGTGGAGGTGGGGTTTCTCCATGTTGGTCAGTTTGGTCTTGAAACTCCTGACCCCAGGTGATGCACCCACCTCGGCCTCCCAATGTTTTGATTTTCATTTCCGTAATGACTTACTGTGTTGAGCCTCTTTTCGAATGTTTATTGATCATTTGTATATCTTTTTGGAGAAATGTTTGTTTAAATCCTTTGCCCATTTTTTAATTGGACAATTTTTCCTTTTATTGGACAGAGATTTATTTAAAACCTGAAACCAACAAATCTGCCAGTCTTTGTTGAGAGGTACTGTGTGCTTTTTTGGTCATGCTTTCAACATTCAGCCTTGCAATTTACAGCTCCATGTATAGCCTTCACTTCTTACTTGCTCAGAGCTTCAAGATTAGTCATAAGTGAGAATTTAGGGGCCTTCTCAGGTCTTTCTTGGGCATATACATTGCTCTGGGCATGTACACAGTTCTACTTATTTCCATGACTTTCTAAATTCTCAGGAATATATTTGAGGTTTTCAGAGTCCTGTAAAGACACCTTATTCCCATATACTACACCAGGCAGTCGTAATGTTAAACAATTACCTCTGATTTTTTTTTTTTTTTTTTTTTTTTTTTTTTTTTTTTGAGACGGATTTTCGCTCTTGTTGCCCAGGCTGGAGTGCTAAATAAATGTTTATTTTTATGTATGTAAATATTTATATAAATGACTTTGTAAATGGCTTTTTATAAATGAAATGTAAATCGCTTTTTACTTTCTTTTTTTTTTTTTTTTTACAAACACCTTCTAAGAGAAGTCTGTTGACACTAGTTGAGCTCCAAGTCACGTAAACTAAAGACAGCTTTGTCTTTAGTTTAGATGCTAAGGAATAGCATCTTTCAGGAACTACCAGACTGGTGAAATGATGATAATTATCACAAAATGGGATTTTAAAGAGCTCCAACCCCTCTACCCTCTTCAGTTGGTGCCAGACTTTACATCATGTATGCAGGCTGTTGGTTTTCATGGTTGTTACAGATTGAGTGGAGGGGTGTGAATATGGCAAAATAAAAACGCCACCAAGCTAACTGTTCTTCCTGAGATTTAGGCATTTTTCTTAGGTAAACACCGCGTACATTGTTGCAAGCCTTTGCTTAATTTTCAGAGTTCTAAAATTGTTTGACAATTTGTAAAGAAAGGAATTTTTTTTTTGGCTCATGGTTCTGCAGTCTGTACAGACTGTGAAGCACGGGACCAGCATCTGCTTCTGGTGTGGGTCTCAGGCTGCTTGCACTTGTGGCAAAAGGCAAAAAGGAGCCAGCATGTGCAGAGATCGCATGGCAAGAGAGAAGAGAGGGAGGTGCCAGGCTCTTTTTGACAACCAGCTCTCAAGGGAACTAACAGAATGAGAACTCACTCATTACCATGAGGACAGCACCAAGCCATTCATGAGGGACCTGTCCCCATGACCCAAACACCTCCCGCTAGGCCTCCCTCCAACATTTGGGGTCAGATTTCACATGAGGTTAGGAGGGTCAAGTATCCAAACTGTAGAAAGTTATTTTCCTGGCTCTTGTCATAACAATGGAATTTTTATTGCATCTTGAACATTTTACATTAGGAAATGATATCCTATTTAAGTCTTATACTTTAGCAGGATGTCATCATGTTTAACTTGTAGGTAGTAACCTACTATAATATTTTGGGCTCCTTTTCCTGGCAGTTTAAGTTCCAGATTTTGCAGTACTAACCTGGTCTACTTTGTTCACCTGGTGCTACTGGGATTCGTGCTTGATCATGTCTATGTGGAATGTTGTAATCAGCATATGCTTTTAAAGCCATAGGATTAAGATTACAAAATAAGTGAATAGAGGTGAAAGCAAACATTGTGCCCTGAAGTATGCCAATATTGGAGAGTTGAAGTATACAGGAGGAAACAACCAAGGAGACTAAGAAAGAGTGACTCTGAGGTAAAGGAAAAACCAGATATAATGGAAGAGGAGGAGAGTGTGATCTACTGTATCAAAATTTTGTTCATGAAATCAGATGAAATAAGGTAACCACCAGATTTAGTAATGTGTATGTCATTGATGGTTGGAATGGACCTAAGAGAGAGTAGGAAGAGCAGCTAGTACAGGTAACTCATTTGAGAAATTTACCTGCATATAGGAACAAAGAAAGAGGTTGGTATGTGGTGGGAAAGTGGTGTCAAGGAAAGTTGTTAATAAGATAGGAGAAATAACAGCATTTTTATGCTGAATCCTGCAGTAGTGAGCCAGATTTTGATGATACAGGAAAGGAGAGAATTGATGAATCAGTGTCCTTCAGCAGGTAAGAGAAGATTGGAGACAAATGAAGATATTTAGTTAGGAGTGTGGATTCTATGG